TGAGACATTTGGCGGAATAAAAGTTCAAATAAAATTGTTCAATATTTGGTTAATTTTTTTTTTAAATTTCAATGTTAACACTCTATGAAGCTCACAAAAGCTTGTTAAAAGCTTTCAAATGGGTGTTGTGATCAATTGTGAGCTTTCGAAGTAATCATATGTTTTCCACGTGGGTATGCAAATTTTTAAGGTTTGTTTTGAGTCGTGTTTAATATTTTGAAAAATATACATATTGACGATCTTTAATTGAAGTAACCATTGTTTTCGTTAAACTAAGGTATGTACTAAATGTAAATAATGTGTTCGTGATTTATCTATGTATGTGTAACCTAAAAATATATAGTTATTAACATGGTTTTGAAGTAATGATTTTTAAACGCTTACTGTTTTCGTTGGACTGTAACTAATGTGATTCAATCGTATTCATGCTAATGTTAGTATTTGTGAGAAGTGTAAGTCCCTGTGGTGTCAAAATGTCCAAAATGAGAGCCAACTACGGCCAATTCTGAAGTCTATTACACTTTATAGGTGGAATGTCAGTCCCTAGGAGACGTCTTTTTGCCTTGTGGCTTAGCGAAAGTGTAGCAGAAAAATTTAAAAAAATTTTTTTTATTATTTTCATATACAGTAGAATCCGCTTATAGCGACTTTCAAGGGACCGACGATTTTTCGTCGTTATACCCGGAAGACGCACTAAGCAGAAGGATTTAAGTGTATAAGTCTGTCTGGGGACCAATCAAGCCATCGAGTTTTCGTCGCAATACCCGGACGGACACTATAAGCGGAGTCGTTATAACAGGATTCTACTGTAATTGTTAATTGAATTTAAAATGTTTAAAAATATATTTTTTGAAAGACTATAAAGTTACGAAATTCACTATATTTATACCCTTGCAGAGCAAAACGGTATTATAATTTCAGTCAGAAGTTTGCAACGCACTGAAGGAGACACCTCAGACCCCATAAAGTTTATATATTCTTGATCAGCATCACGAGCAGAGTCGGAATACGTCTGTACGTCTGTCCGTCTGTCTGTTTCTATGTAAACTAGTCTCTCAGTTTTAAAGCTATCTTGCTGAAACTTTCCCAAAAGGTGTATAGTTATTGCACGCAGTATATAAGTCGGAACGAGCCGGATCGGCCGACTATATCGGATAGCTCCCATACGAGAGAATGAAATAAAAAATTCTCACGCCGTTGTTTTTTATCAGATCGACTTGAATTCTTCAAGATGGCGTTTTCTAACTGTTATTGAATTTCGGATTAAATTTGATCAAAATCGGATAACTCTATCATATAGCTGCCATAGGAGAGATCGAAAAATATATATAGAATTAATGGAAATAAATTTGATAACATCGTTGTTTTTTAACCCACGAGCATGATTTTTTGAACATCAAGTTTTTTAACAACCCTTATATTGAGAAAAAGTTTCATAAAAATCGGACAACTATATCTTATTGCTGCCATAGGAAAGATCGAAAAATCTATATAGAAATACCGGAAATAAAATTATAACATCGTTGGTTTTTATTAGATAAGCATGATTTTTGGAATATAAAGTTTTCTAAGGACTCTTGACTCTTACGAATTAAATTTGATCAAAATCGGACAACTATATCATATAGCTCCCATATGATCTATAGTCGAAAATATGTAAAATTAATAGAAAAATCGTCTTAGCTTCGATGTTGTTTAGCCTTTATGTATTTTGTTCGATTTATTTGATGACTGCAAGGGTATATTAGCTTCGGCTTGCCAAAGCTAGCTTCCTTTCTTGTTTTTATATGAATTGTATGAGATTTACTTGGGGTAACACATTAATATTTTCAGAATATGTCAAGAATACATTAAGAATATTAAGTTAAAATTTTCAAAAAAATATCAATTCATTTACCCGAGTTATTATTAAAATTCCGCTAGCAGAGGCACTTGGCCTACTGTGCGTCGGTCCGTCTGTCCGTCTGTCTGTTTCTATGTAAACTAGTCTCTCAGTTTTAAAGCTATCTTGCTGAAACTTTCCCAAAAGTTCGATCGGGCCGGATCGGCCGACTATATCGGATAGCTCCAATATAAGAGAATGAAATAAAAAAATCTTACGCCGTTGTTTTTTATCAGATCTACTTGATTTCTTCCATATGGCATTTTCTAACTACTATTGAATTTCGGATTAAATTTTATCAAAATCGGACAACTCTATCATATATAAAGGGTTTTTCAATAGGTGCGCTTCAACTTTTTTCCGATAGGGACGGCGAACGACGCCATGTTTTTTCTTGTTCCCTTGACATATGAAGTTTCATTAGTAGGGGAGGGTGGTCCCATACCGACCCCCTAAACGGCAAAGGCGATAAAGGTGAGAAAAATCAATTTTTCAGTTCAGTTCAAAAATTTACTATGTAGAGGGATCAGTTTACTATACATCTAAATGATTAGTAAGTGCGTAGGTGCTTTGAAGCGTTAGATATTCAGGAAAATATAAAACTCTACTTTTTGGTCGTACTCAAAAGTAGTGGTCCGAAACCGACCCCCTATTTCTTAACAGAAAAATTTAATAACATAAAATAGAATTTAATGATTTTGACGTTTATTAAGAAATATATTGAAGGTTCTTTCCAGAAAATAAAAATTATTGTATGAAATAAAGGGCACTGTAGTCAATTGATGAAGTCTGAGTTGTCCTCTTTCTCATAGTAAGTTTTCGCATTGTTTTCGCGTTGTTTTTCGAAAGCCGCTCGTTGATGACTGTCTCTTCGCTTGCTGTCTGATGTTTTTGCTGTTTCTGTTACTTTTCTTTACTGAATCTTGTTTACTTTTTCATATTTTCCCTCAAAAATACGCTATGACATATTAAGCTGCCAATAAATGGGGGTCGGTTTCGGACCATCACTTCGCGGTCGGTTTCGGACCACCACAACCTTTTCTAATTAGCTGCTCGCCATTATCTAATGACGCAAAGAGCGATGTAATTCTAATAGCGTGAATGACAGCTAGGACTATCAACTATCAGAAAACCTTACCCTCCGATTTTTATGCGGAGAAAAAAAACTTTAAAAATATTTAAGCTCAAGTTCAGTAAAGAAAAAAAACTGAATGTCAGAGGCGTTGAAACAAAACAAACGGAAAAATTGCAGTTAAACAAAATAAGTCAAATTGGCTATCTATCTCCAAAATGTCTATGTTATAACAGCTTTTCACTGAAGTTACCGACAATTCGGCTAGCATCGCCATCTCTGAGAAACATGGGGGGGGGTCGGTATGGTACGACCGGTCGGTATGGGACCACTCTCCCCTATACATTTCATCATGGAACGCTACACACTTGAACAGCGATTGCAAATTGTGCAAATTTTTTATCAAAATAATCGTTCTGTTGCTGCTACTTCAAGAGCATTACAGCCATTTTACGGTCCATTTAACAAGCCAGCCCGTTCGACAATCGAAATTTGAGTCTACGTTTTCACTACATAATGTTACGGTGCCCGTGAGAGCAAGAAGTGCTCGAAGTGATGAAAACATCGCACCCGCAAGCGCTTCAGTTCAAGAAGACGCGAATGTGTAGCTCACACGACGTTCACAACAATTGGGACTTTCTGTGACGTCATTGTGGCGAATTTTGCGTAAAGATCTTGGCTTACATCCTCTAGACTATTTTCTTTGGGGTTACGTGAAGTCATTGGTCTATGCCAATAAGCCGGCGACGTTGCAAGAGCTCAAAGCCAATATTGAACGCGAAATTGCTGGAATTTTGACCGATTTAGCGAAAAAGTGGTTGAATATTGTGTTCAACGATTGGACTTCGTAAAACGTGCACGCGGTGGTCAAGCGAAAGAAATCGAGTTTCATAATTAAATGTATATGTTCAAATTCAATAATAAAAAAAGTTAGTTGAAAAGTCAAACCGTTTGTGTTTTTTTTTTTTTTAAAAGTTAAAGCGCTCCTATTGAAAAACCCTTTTGAATTGATGGAAATAAATTGATAAAATCTTTTTTTTTTATCCCACGAGCATGATTTTTTAAATATCAAGTTTTTAACAACCCCAATATTGAGAAAAAGTTTCATAAAAATCGGTCATCTATGTATAACTTAGGAAAGATCGAAAAATCTATATAGAAATAATGGAAATAAAATTATAACATCGTTGTTTTTCATCAGACAAGTATGATTTTTGGAATATAGAGTTTTCTTACGACTCTTGAATTACGAATTAAATTTGATCAAAATCGGACACCTATATCGTATAGCTCCCATAGATCTATAGTCAAAAATATGGAAAATGAATAGAAAAATCGTCTTAGCTTCGATTTTGTCTAGCCTTTATGCGTTTTGTTCGACTTATTTGATGACTGCAAGGGTATATAAGCTTCGGCTTGCCGAAGCTAGCTTCCTTTCTTGTTTTTAGCTACTGTTGAATTTCGAATTAAATTTGTATCAAAATTGGAAGACTATAGTCGCCATATACTATAGCTGTCATTTGAACAATCGTCGAAAGTATGGAAAGTTATTAGAAAAATGTTCATAGCTCCGATGTTGTTTAGCCGTTATGTTCGACATATTTGATGTGCACAAGGGTATATAATCTTCGGCTTGCCGAACCTAGCTTTTTTCTTATTTGAAAAGACTATGGAATTTCGCATTAAATTAATGAAAAAAAAAAATGTTAACGTCTGTGTGTTTTATCCAACGAGGATGGATTTTTATACCGAGTTTTTACCTACCCTTGAAACTAATAGAAAAATCATCATAGCTTCGATGTTGTTTAGCCTTTATGTATGTATTTTGTTAAAAAAAATTTGATGACTGCAAGGGGCTATATACATTTCTTCTTTATTAATTTACGTTATAATTTTTTTGTTACTTGGTCTATTTTGCCTATAGGAGTCATATGACGTATTGTAGAGCTTTAGCTAGAAAGCTTAAAAACTGATAGGCAGGTTTTACAAGAAAATTTAATTGAATTAAATTGATTATTATATTTATTTTTTATTTTTCTTTTTCAGGTTATAAATGCAAAGACCTTATTAAATGAGTCAAAAAATCGTTCTGCTGTACAAAAAATTATCTTACAAATGAATTGTAAAGTTGGAGGTTCATTATGGACGGTTAAAATACCTTTTAAAAATGTTATGATTTGCGGAATGGACTCGTATCACGACCCTTCAAATCGGGCAAACTCTGTTGCTGGTAAATTTATTCATTGACTTACAAATAAACAAATAACTACACTAAGTTATATCAAGAAAAGAATCCTATTTCGGCAAGACGAAGTCATCAGTCTGTTAGGCGGATAGTTTATATAAAGAAAGGACGGTCTCAGCTTATGTTATGACGGCAGTATTTCAAAAACTACAACAGTATTAAAATTACATTTGTTAATGAGGTTGCAGTGACTTACATTTCCTGATTAGCATTTATTTATTTGAAACTATCAGGAGCCCCCTCAGCCTCGACTTTGTAATTACAAAAACATTAAATAACGTTGTTTTTTAGGTACATATTTGTGTACCCTTGCAGAGAGTATAATAAGCTATTTTAAAGCTTTCTTGCTAAAATGTTACCTAAACTTGTGTAGGTATTGCACGCATTATATACATAAGTCGGAACCGGTCCAGATGGTGTTTTTATACCCTTGCAGAGCAGAGGATAATATAAATTCAGGCAGATGTTTGCAACGCAGTGAAGGGGACACCTCAGACCCCATAAATTATATATATTCTTGATCAGCATCACGAGCAGAGTCGGAATACGTCTGTAACATACGTCTGTCCGTCTGTCCGTTTCCGCGCAAACTAGTCTCTCAGTTTTAAAGCTATCTTGCTGAAAAGCAAAACACCCAAAAGGTGTGTAGTTATTGCACGCAGAATATAAATCGGAACGGGCCGGATCGACCGATTACATGGGATAGCTCCCATACGAGAGAATGAAATGAAATGGTGAAATGGCGTTTTCTAACTGTTATTGAATTTCGGATTAAATTTGATCAAAATCGGATAACTCTATCATATAGCTGCCATAGGAGAGATCGAAAATTATACTATATAGAATTAATGGAAATAAATTGATAACATCGTTGTTTTTTATCCCACGAGCATGATTTTTTGAATATAAAGTTTTTTAACAACGTTTATATTGAGGAAAAAGTTTCATAAAAATCGGTCATCTATATCTTAGGAAAGATCGAAAAATCTATATAGAAATAATGGAAATAAAATTATAACATCGTTGTTTTTCATCAGACAAGTATGATTTTTGGAATATAGAGTTTTCTTACGACTCTTGAATTACGAATTAAATTTGATCAAAATCGGACACCTATATCGTATAGCTCCCATAGATCTATAGTCAAAAATATGGAAAATGAATAGAAAAATCGTCTTAGCTTCGATTTTGTCTAGCCTTTATGCGTTTTGTTCGACTTATTTGATGACTGCAAGGGTATATAAGCTTCGGCTTGCCGAAGCTAGCTTCCTTTCTTGTTTTTTATCTAATGCTAACATTATATTTTGTTTACTTATTAATTCTCTACGTTGTATTTGTTCCTTATTAAATATCAATTTGGGGATAATTTATTGGCTAAGGTGTTGTCAGCTATCGAGTTCATTAATGAAAGAGTTTTGTGCGTTTTTAAAGAAAACATTTTTTGTAGACTGTTTCTTGTTAATGTGGGTTTTTATATTTCTTAGTTTGATAAATATGGCTTTGTTGAATAGAATTTGTATATTGGATATTTTTCATTTCTTCTAATAAGTTTTGTCCGTCGTTGTCATCTAGGCTTCCGAGGTAGATTTGGGTATGCAAATAGGATGTATTTATTTTTTACTTCTACCTGTTTGATATTGTTTGGTAGGGCTTCTAATGATATTTTAAGGGTTGGGCGGTCATTTAGTATGTGTCGGTGTTAGTATTTGTTGTTTAAGCTGGTTATTCAGTGTTTGTAAATTTTTTAATTGTTTTTCAAATTTTTTGTTTATGTAACTTTTGACCTTTATTTGTTAGAAGGGTGGCACCTTTGTCTCTATCTACTTTATGTAGTGAAAATCTAGGTGTCAACTTGTTTCTACGGTTTTCTTTTCTAAATACCGTATCATTAGGTTCGACTTGGACTGGTGTCTCTCTGTCCTCATTTAATTTAGCCAATCTCCTTACTGTGGTCGCATTTAAATGTTCCTGTACTTTTGGGTATATGTCTTTTCTAAAATCGTTTAATTTCTTAAGGTAATCGTGGTGATTGTCGAATGTTATTGTTTTATTGAATATGTGAGTTCTTCCGTGAAAGAGCTCGAAAGGGGTATAGGAAGTGCTTGAGTGTATTGCATTGTTATATGTTGCAACTGCTTCTGTGAGTATTTGGTCATGCCCGCATTCAAGGCGTGCTTCCTTTCTTTTGTTCATGATTATCCTGTATAGTTCGGTTAAGGTGGAATGCAGTCTTTCGACAAAAGCGTTGCCCGTTGATTGTTGAAATGAAGTTGTTTGAGCTGTTATTTGAAATTGGGATAAGAGGTCATTGAATAGACTCCCCGAAAATTCCGCTCCCTGGTCGAAAATTATTTTCTTTGGTGTGCCGTAATGACTTATAAATTGTAACAGGGCATCGGCGATTTTTATTGAATTCCTATTGCTAAGGGGGTAGGCTTGCGCTAGTAGCTTGGAGAATTTGTCTATAATGGTGAGGTTACAAGTATTGTTAATGAAATATATGTCTATATGCACGACCGCCAACGGTCCCTCTGGGGCGGTTGGGGCTTGCAATAATGGTCTATGGGGGTGTCTATCGACCTTGAGGGTTAAGCAGGTATCGCAATTTTTTACAATTTTTGTGATAATGTCTTTTAAGTGCGGAAAATAAATGTCTCTTTTCCATTTAGGTTATATGTTTCACCTATCCCCCTATGATTGGTATTAAAGTGGTATGCACGAATTTTGTTTTCCTGGTCGTGGGGGTTAGTGATATCGGTTAGCCATATTTTGCAGCGGGAAATTTTGTACAAGTCATTTTCGAAAAAATAGTTATTATAGGACGCTTCTATTATTTTGAAAATATTGTCTGGTGCAAATATTGCAAATGTTTTAGTCGGCTTCAGGATTTTTTGAAGGGTGTTTGTAACGGAGTCGAAAGTATGCACGGGTTCTGTGATTATGTGTCTTGTTTTATGTACAAATAGTGTTTCTATTTGTCTTGAAGTTGTTGAACCGGTACGGAATATTGTTTGATTATTGAAATGATTTATTGGTTGTGAAACGATCGGTATAATTTGTGGGTCTTCGTTTATGTTTAAATTTGGCTCGATTCTGCTGAGTGCATCGGTATCTATCGGAGACAGTTTTCTTATTTAATTTCCAAAAATCGATTACCAAGCGCCACTTTTTTCGCCTGTGGTATCACTTTTCTTTGGTACGACCCAGACGGGTGCACTCCAAAGGGAATGGCTGTTTTAATTATGTTTTGTTCGAGCATTTTTGAAATTTGTTTTCGAACTTCGTCTTTATGCACAAATGGGTAACGGTAAGATTTCGTGTGAATCGGTATGTTATCTGTTGTTGGTATAGAGTGTTTGACGGAGTTAGATAACGTTAGTTGGTTGTTTTCGTCATGGAAGAGTTTTTTAAATGATCTGCATAGTTTGAGTATTTGTTGGTTTTCCTCATTGTTGAGGTGTTCTGTCTGAATGTTGAACTGCTGATCGTTTTGGCATTCTGTTTCTTTTGCTGCGGACATGCAGTTTAAGTATTGGTGGGTTCGTGGGGAAAATTCTTCTGCTTGTAACGGTTCTTCGAGGTAAAGTGTTTGGGTTTGATTTGAGTTATTGCAAACTTCAAAATAAAAGGATCCGGCGATTGCGGTGTTTAAGTCACCTGTTATGGATATTTGATTATCCAAAATCGTGGTTTCGTATATAAAGTCTCCCTCCATGAAGTTTACTGGGAGCGGTAATCGCATTTTAGTATTTTGTGGTAGAGTATGTAATGTGTCTACAGGGTTTGCTCTTGTGAGGATCCTCACCGCTCCAAGTAAACTTCATGCAGGGAGACTTTATATACGAAACCACGATTTTGGATAATCAAATATCCATAACAGACGGCTTATACACGGCAACCGGCGAAACCGCCTAACTCGAAGTTTGCAATAACTCACTTCTGAGGATTTCTGGTGTTTCTAGTATGGAGTCGGCAAAGTTTATTATACCCTTGCAGAGCAATGGGTATTATAATTTTGGCCAGAACTTTGCAACGCAGTGAAGGAGACACCTGAGACCCCATAAAGTATACATATTCTTGATCAGCATCACGATCTGAATCGAAATACGCCTGTACGTCTGTCCGTCTGTCCGTCTGTACGTCTGTCTGTCTGTCCGTCTGTCCTCCTGTCCGTTTCTGCCCAAACTAGTCTCTCAGTTTTGAAGCTATCTTGCTGAAACTTTCCCAAAAGGTGTGTAGTTATTGCACGCAGTATATATGTCGGAAGGGGCCGGATCGGGCAACTATATAGGATAGCTCCCATACAAGAGATTGAAATATAAAATTATACCGCCGTTGTTTTTGATCAGATCGACTTGATTCCTTCTAGATGGCGTTTTCTAGCCACTATTGAATTTTGTATAAAATTTTATCAAAATCGGATAACTCCACCATATAGCTGCCATACAAAAGATCAAAATATATATATATAAATAATGAAAAAAATTATAACATCGTTGTTTTTAATCCCACGGGCGTGATTTTCAAAACATGGAGGTTTTTAATAACCCTTGAATCGAGAAAAAATTTCATTAAAATCCGACAACGTTATCTTATAGCGGCCTTAGGAAAGATCGAAAAATCTGTATAGAAGTACGGGAAATAAAACTATAAAATCGCTGTTTTTCATCAGACAAGCATATTTTTTGGAATATAGAGTTTTCTAACTGCTCTTGAATTCCATATAAAATTTCATCAAAATCGGACAACTATATCATATAGCTGCCATACGAACAATAGTCGAAAATATGGAAAAGTAAAAGAAAAATCGTCATAGTTTCAATGTTGCTTAGCCCTTATGCATTTTGATCGACATATTTGATGACTGCAAGGGTATATAAGCTTCGGTTTGCCGAAGCTAGCTTCCTTTCTTGTTTTTGCATTTAGGCCGGATAGGAAATCCATGCCTAGAAAACCATTAAAGTGTGGGTGGAAATTGAATACTA